ACATAGCATTTTTTAAACATTAAAATGTGCAATCTAACAGGTCTTGCAAAGTGAATTTTCCAACTCGAGTTACGTTCACACACACCCACACCCGGTTCGTGGGCTGCCCTCCTAGTGAACAGCTAAGAGCTTCCTCTGATATCCTTTCCGATTCGTTAAGTGGAAGGCCACATCAGTCACAGCGGACGAGTTTTACGGCGCTGTCATACCGACCAATCTTCATGTTCCTGTGGATTCGACTGTCGTTCATTCACATCACACATGCCTCGAGCAGTTTGTTTGTCATGTGAAAAAACTAGCATGTTTTTATGAGCCAAAATTCGGCCGGATTTCACTGAACACTTCACTTGCAGATTCTGTATTAAGACTGAAACACTTCGGGAAAATGTGTTAAATTCGGCCTGCTGAACTATTTCAGTTTGTGAACTATTGCAGATTGTGAATTTTGATGGTTTGTGAACTTTGATAGTTTGATACTTTTGACAGCTTTAGTTGTCAGATTGTTTGAACCATTCTAAAAATGATTCTGATTGGCTTATTGTAGCGTGCCTTATGGGAGTGGAGAGCATGCTTACGACAATGCTGTTCGCTTTTGAAATAAACTTCGTTCTGAAAATTGATTGTAATGCATGGGGAATTTAACGGATTCGTTACTATAAAACAAAGAGAGAAGCATTGACTGTGCTCTGTTCTGTTGTAAAGCACTTAGGAAGCGGCTAGAACACTCAAGAAGTGCTACTACGTCTCGTGTCCCGTTAGTTAGTTAGTGTCTCGTTACGACACTATCTATCTCCGGGAGGAGATAGACCACCCCCCCTGGTTTTTCTTGGTGTTCACCATGCATATTTCACCATTTACATCTTGCATACATATTATTACATCCTTAGTTAATGTCCAACGCAAGTATCAGTCAATTTGATCGGCGGCTTGTCAATCAACAGAGGAAAATAAATGACGGTGTTTTAAGACTTTGATTCATCCAACTTGACAACTTTGAGGTCAAATATCTCCCCTTGCCAGAAAGCTACAACACCAATTTTGAATTCTCCTTTATAATCCATCGTTTCGTCTCTGAATACCATCAAAAAAATCTTTGGGTATCATCGTATTTTTGTCTTTTATGCCTTTTAAAATCTGCTACTGTGACAAGCTTCTCTCAACTGCACCTGTAACGCAATTCTGGCTCTAGGCGGTCACTTGACCAAAGAAACCGCATTTTATAGCTCGTTATACAAGATGATTGATCAAGAAATCGAAGAAATGAGAAAAACTTTTGTAGGAATGGAAAATTTCACGTTTAGAGATATGCATGTAGGCGAAATGTTGATTGGAAAATCACAGCGATTCTTTCTTCTGTCGTTTATTACTTTGGAGATTTGCTAAAATCAGCAAATACGGCTTTTGTACGGCACAAAACATTTAGTAGTCTATCGTTTGATTGTTTATCATTATATTTGCTCATTGTAGGAGAATTGAATGTCGCACGCTGAGTGTTGGTTGACATTATTACAAGCTCCAGTGTGCGACAACTTCGGCTTTTACAGACGAGAAATTCTGCGCTCTCGCATGAGAGGAAATATCAATAGCTCTATCAAACTGTAAACTGTACTTCTATTCCGAAAATAAAATTAAAATAGTGTTGTCGTTGTCACTTACCGTCATCGAACATTTCCATGCAGAACTCCGCCAAACTAACATCTGTGGCGTGACTCGAAGGCTCTTCGTAGGAATTATTCAAAAGCGTTTCCCATGCTGTCTGCTAGATAACGGTTTCAGAATATTCTGTAGATCTCAATGTTTATTTTCTTGCTTTCATCGGAAATATCTGCATTTTTTTTAAAGCATAGAGATGTCATTGTGAGGACACCTACTGCATGAAAGCTGTTTGGTAAAATAAAAATTGGACGACGCACAACATAAACTTATCAAATGTGCACTCACCCTCATCAAAGATACCTACTTACAATCATTATGTACGAGGCAATTAAGAGGAAAGTTGGAGGAAGCGTGCTTAGGATTAAAAACAGTTAAGAATAAAGAAGGGCACCTCCGTAACTTCGTGACAATAAGCGATAAATAGAGTGTTTAACTCGATATCGCACGAGTGAGATGTCGAGTTGAACACAAGAAGAGAAATTCCATATCTAAAAGCAACCATGTATTATTTTGTTTATCATATAAACACAATAGCCCTTTACTGAGAAAAAAAGCCGAATTCATGAAACAATGAAAATAAATGAATCGACAACTTTCGAATAACAATTATCTTAAGATGGAAAAATGCGTTGAATCACGATAACACAAACAACAATGGTCGTCATTTTCAATTTACAAAATTCTCATTTATTGACTTTGTCCTTACCGACAGGGGAAGTCTTTCAGGTAAACGGCCAATATTGGCCAGTGAAAAATCTTCCAGTTGTCGATTTTCATTCTCAGCTGAGAGAACTGCTAACATCAAAGCCGCTGAATACGTAATCCAATGAATATCTCAACAGCCGCTGAAAAGTTCAGAGTTTAGTGTATCACGTCATATATATAGAAAAGCCAATCCTCCACACCATCGCTCGCTGCCCTTTAGTGTTTCTGGCCAGCACTGGAATCAGTCATTAGCCCCCTTTTTTTTTAAGTTGACGGTGTGGATTTTGTTTTTATATTCTTCTTTTGTCGCAAGAAGAGGCTGGTATATAAGACTGCTACGTATAAAAATTTTATCCACCGTCGGACAGCGGTGGCAGCTACAAAGTATCTCACTCACAGAGCATGGAGAGGCTTAGTGCAGCTGACGTCTTTGAGTGCGATGTTGATACACCTCTTGATTTTCTTCCTAGCAGGTAATAATATTAATAAAGTTGGGGACTAGGGTGGCAACTAGAATTTGCACCAGAATTTCAAAACTATCTACATCAATTTTCCCCTGAACTTAAAAAAATCGTCCTTTTACTGTGGATCGATGGTCGCGAGAAGCTTGGGTCAAATGAGTCTGGAACAAAAGTTTGTTAAGGTTCAAATGGTTTCGTTATTTGGAAAAACCTATTCTTTTTGATGGATTATAGCTTCTACACTTTTCTGTTTGTCTCCTTGAAATCGATGTTCAAAAATGCCCAAAGAACTGTAATCAAACTGGGTTTGTTTTTTTAAACAATTAAGGCTACCATAGCAACAATACAGCTTCAAGGAGACAGATTAGTTGTTCTATCAATATAAAAAACCTCATTAATAATAAAAGTGATCAAAACAAATCAAGAAACACAGCACATTGTTTTGACAACATCAATATTTTCGAGGGAAAACACGAAGTAATGTAAATACATCGAAGGTATGCTAAAAGACTTCCACTAGTAAAACAAAATTCAAGTGATTCTCCTCAAAGATTTCATTTGCGGAGAAATAATCGTTCAATATTTTTGTACGGTCATTTTTAACGTGTGCGCCACCACGATGCTGAAATAACTTCCCATAAACAATAACACATTTTGATTTCCTATGGAACTCTATGATTATTGAAAACCCAGCTTTTCATTTCTTTTTTTATTTTCCTACTCGTTACAAAATCGGAATATAATGGACTTACTTCATCAAATTCGTTTGTTAGAGCTTCTTATCGATAAGTGAACTTTTGCTTGTAGAGTCAGACAGAGGTGCTTGTTTTGATTATTAAATGAATTAAAAAAAACAGCTAAGTGCTTACGAAGGAGGACTTCTCCCTCTTGAGACTAAAAATGATAACAAACAATAATGATAAAAATATCAATAACAATTACAAAAAAAAGGGCAGCAACTTTTACTGCAGCATCATTCCAGTTGTCGATAATGTCTGCAATGAAAGAGGATAGGAAGTCATGCCGTGTGTCAGTGTACATCAAGTGAAAAGTTTGAAACTTGTGTAGATAACAAAGCTAATTTGAAGTTGTGAAAATCAATTTCTACTGATTTATTGCCTCTAATATGAAGCCTTAACTGCTAAACGGGAACAATAAATCATGGAGAAGGAACATGATTCACAGGAAATTCTTACCAGAGAACCAAAATAAACATCGTTATGTTAATTTAACAAAGCCTCATAATCCCAGCTGTTGTACAAGTCTTTCAGCGAAAAAAAGGGGAAGACGGAAATATCCACAGAAATATGGATATGTAAGGTGTCGAAGAGGTGAATTGGCTAACTTAGCTTGTAACAAGGTTCCATGATAATCAAAACTTATCCATCACGAATATCATGACACACAGGAAGTTCTTACCACCACCAAAATAAACAGTGGTTGCATAATAATTTGGCAAAGTTTCACAATGCCAGCTGTTGTACATGTGTAAAAACGATAACCCAGGAAACCATCAAATGAATTCTTCATTTTCACAAACTAGGTTTACATCTATCCATTTCTTTAACGCGCGCATTTTCAACGACGAACCAATTTAGTCAATTACATTATGACATAGAAATTTTGGGAGCTTCACCAGTCTAAACGTCTGCTCGACTATGTTATGAATATAAAGTTGTAGGAACGTTGCGTGACCTAAAACAATTCTTTCAGGTCCAATTTGTTCTAATTCAGCACAAAAGGTTTAAATATCAGTGTGCTTATCATTTCACAAATTTCAGTTATCATTCCTAAAATGGGACGACGGTATGGATATGAAAGGTGTCGTTGAGGTGAATTTGCCGACGTCTGACACGGCTGTATAATTTCAACTGTTATTTATAAATTTTTCATGATAGCATGTCAGGCTACAGAATGATGTGACAAAACTTAATTATGGCAATTGACAGGCAAATTATTGCTGAACCGAGCAGCATTCTAAACAAACATTTCTACCGGTAGAAACTAAGGCAGAACAGCTGACATACGAAATAATTTGACTGTCATTGGTTTAACCGGCGACAACCTAATTTCCATTGCTTCAAATTTCCCCTGTCATGATAAGTAATATCAAGTAAAGAATTATTTTCTTAAGCATATGTTTAATGGGCCAGAACTTTTCTAATCGTGCTCTGTATCATGTATTCTGTTTTTGTCTCCCTTCTCTTATTGGAGCTCTGCTTTATGATACAAAGGGCTGTCAGATCACAAGGTTAGTTTCAGTATGACTTATATCCAATTCATGTTTACCTTTGGTTCGAATATTCGTGTTTCTTTTTCTGGGAAACTAATTCAATTGTAAGAATTCGTAATTAAGTCATAAAATTAGCTTTTTCCACCTATATTAACTGAAGAATTGTTAATATATTCAGTTATCAACCCACAGATAGTACTTTGAAGAAATATTACATTTTCGTGTCCGTATGTGCATTGATTAAGTTAGAATTCTACAAAGCGAAGTGCAGACGATTAAAAAATCGATGTCAGAACTTCTGCCGAGTAATTTGAACCCCCTTAGTCGTCTTCCTCCACTGACCCAAGCTGTCCAGAGATTGCCGTCTCTCCGAGAAACCCGCCTTTAAATCAAACCCTTAAAACAAGCCAAACCGAAATGAAATAGTTTTCAATTTAAGAACAACAGAGAATTGTTGCCGTGTTTATATATTCTCATAACAACACCCGAGACACTGTCGAGGGTTTGTATATCCCTTTCCTTGTAGAAATAAAATAGACGAAGAGAAAAATTAAAGTCTAATATAACTGATGATGAAACGTCAACTATCAAGTTTTCCGTAATTCTTAACATATCACCATAAGCAATAATGTTACGTTTCATGTATTATTATTTCTATTTCAAAGATGTCTGCATCGCAGACCAGTGTCGTAATTTGGAGTTTGGGCCTGAGAAAGCATTGGAAGGGAAACGCCTCATAAACCACACAATTCGCACCGTAGAAATAACAGTTTCCAGGTTCTGTGAAAACTTGTGTTATATGGAGCCCGACTGTGTCAGCATTAATCTTTGTTTACGAGCAAATGGTAATGGAAACTATAAATGTGAACTGAACAATGCTACTCATGAAGGAAACGAAAAAAAGTTGATAGACCAAGAGACGTATTCTTATCACGCAGCTGAGGTAATGTAGCTTTCAATTCAAGATTAAGATTGGTTTATTTTCTTTTTCTTTTTAAAACTCTGAGTCTCGTATTCACCTTTAATTACGAACTTAAGCTGCCTTCCCTCTTTCAAGACATTAGCGGTAATGTTGTGTCTGTGCTCTTCACCAGAATCTCCTTAAAGACAAAGCATTTCAAAGTTATTGGAGAATATAGAAATAGGAGAACAACTAGGATGACAAGGATAATGATGACAATATTGATGATGGTAGCGGTGTGTTTGATTATTAGACGATGAAAATGATTATAATGATTATACTGACAATGACAACGGTTTGTTTTTTTCTGTCAGAGTAATTGTGTTCAAAATTCTTGTAAGAACAATGCTACTTGTCAAAGCGGATTTACTAAGAAAGGTTATCGGTGCCTGTGTACCGCTGGATTTGAGGGTCCACTTTGCGAAAGAGGTAACACAACTTCAATGTTGATATCTTGAGGTCTACAGTTTAACAAAAAAAGGATAAACTTTACCACGGTGCTTCTTGATTGGATCTCGAAGAATAAAGGAGCTTTGTCTGTTGGCTTAAAGATCTCTTACTAGTCCGTAAGAATCGAACGACAACAGGCCTTTGTTGCTGTTTCTTTACAAACACAATTCGATGGCGAATTTTTTCTCTTTTTTTTTTTTTTGTTATTGCTTCTCATCATCTCCCTTCTCCTTACTCCTATTCATATATGAAGAAGGAGCCTACCTAATTATTGTTGTGTTCACAGTTGTTGGTGCCTCTAGATATTTTTTTCCAGTACGATAATTTTGTTTTTATTTATTTGTTTATTTGTCTATTTGTTCAGACATTGACGAATGTGTTCATGGGCTACACAAATGCAGCTCTGATGCGTTTTGCAACGATACCAAAGGTTCATACAATTGCATATGCAATCATGGATTCACGGGAAATGGACGGGAATGTAAAGGTAGGTGTTGGATCTCTTAACAATTAGGCAATAAAAAAAAAACTTACATTTGCAAATCATGCACAAAGGAATGGTAACTTAGATCTCGATCCTCTCAGCAAGAAAATTTATAGTGAAAATGAACGCCGGTAGAGATATATATAGACGAGACCACGTTGAAAAATGTTATTCTTGATTACCAAAGTGTTTTTGCATCAATTTGTATCAAGGTAATCCTCACTGTTTAGTTTCACTCACCCTTTGTTTGACAGACTGTCTTATGGCTATAGAAACCTATGTAATATGTTCTCAAGAATAAATATTAATGCTGTCCAAATCAAATACGAATATCAAGTAATGCTGCTGACCTTTTAAATCTTTTATATATTTTCGTCAATTATTGGTCGGCTTTATATCTATAGACATCGATGAGTGTGTCGGAGGGTCACACTCTTGCAGCGTCACACTCTTGCACTGGGAGTGGCCCTGATACCTATTGCAACATATATATATATATATATATAATTTTAACGATTTTTTTTTTAGTATTCGTCAGACGTCAAAGGGTCTTACAACTGTACATGTAAACCTGGATTCACTGGGAGTGGAAGAGACTGCGCGGGTGAGCGTTACTGTTGAGAATATTGAGCAAATGAGGTGGATTTTTTAATTTGGAACTTTCTGATAAAACAAAAACTACTTTTACCATATTGAGAACAGTAAGTAAAGGAGGCCTACCCAATTTTTGTTAGTTGTTGGTGCTTCTATATATATATATATATATATATATATTTTTTTTTTTTTTTGGTACGATAATTTTGTTTTTATTTTTTTTTTATAATGTATTCGCTCAGACGTCAACGAATGTGTTTTTGAACTACACAAATGCAGCTCTGATACGTTTTGCAACAATGCTAAAGGTTCATACAATTGCTCGTGCAAACATGGATTCACGGGAAATGGACGTAAATGTAAAGGTAGGCGGTTCATCTCTTAGCAATTATGTGATAAAAAATAAAGCCTACATTTGCAAATCATCCAAAAAGGGGTGGTAACTTAGATCTCGATCCTCTCAGCAAGAAAATGTATAGTGAAACTGAACGCGGGCAGGGATATATATGGACGAAACTGCATTGAAAAATGTTATTCTTGATCACCTAAGTGTTTTTGCATCAACTGGTATCAATATACTCCTCACCGTTTAGTTTCACTCACCCTTTGTTGGACAGACTGTCCAATGGCTACAGAAACCAATTGAAGTTTTCAACAACTAACATTAATGCTGTCCAAATCAAATACGAATATCAAGTAATGCTGCTGACCTTTTAAATCTTTTATATATTTTCGTCAATTGTTTGTCGGCTTTATGTCTATAGACATCGATGAGTGTGTCGGAAGGTCACGCTCTTGCAGCCCTGATGCCTATTGCCACAATACCAAAGGGTCTTACAGCTGTACATGTAAACCTGGATTCACTGGCAGTGGAAGAGAATGCGAGGGTGAGCATTACTTTGAGAATGTTGAGCAAAGGAGGCGGATTTTCTAATTTGATACTTTCTGATAAAACAAAAACTACGTTCATCATATCAAGAACAGTATGTAAAGGAAACCTAACAATGCATTGTTGTTTTTACAGGTGTTGGTGCTTCTATATATATTTTTTTTTTTCTTAACGATAACTTGTTTTTAGTTATTTGTGTATTTTTTTGTTCAGACATCAACGAATGTGTTCGTGGGCTATACAAATGCAGCTCTGATGCATTTTGCAACAATACCAAAGGGTCTTACAACTGTACATGTAAACCTGGATTTACTGGAAATGGACAAGAATGTAAAGGTAAACGTTGGGGTCGAAATGTTGAGGAAAATCAGCTGGCGAAAAGTCTAAGTAAGAATTTTGATACACTGGCGATAGCACTGCTCTTCTTCTGAGCCTTGCAACCCTTATAACTTTCTAAGTCTCTCTTCCGTGGACTGCTTTAAAACGTTTGCAAACTCAGATTTTTTAAAAATCCTTGCCATGAGAAAATGGCTGAACTCGGTTTTTGCATAAAATCACGATTCATGAAACCTTGTGTCTGTGTCTGCGCGATCTCCCTCATTCTTTGGCTTCAGAAGACAACTCAGATCTCGGTTTTAATATTTCTAGATATCATACTCAACCTCATTAAGTAAACTGCTTATTAGCTTAAAACTTTTCTTCGACTTTGAAGAAAACATACATGCTGCCAAGTAAAGTGAATGAAAACTGAGAAACTTTTCCAACCAAAAAACAGAGCTTGGAACGTGAAAAAATTCTTCTGTCAATCAATCAGATTGCAGTCAATATAGTTTCCCAATGATGGATTAAGATGTAGTTAAAACAATTTCAATCTCTTCTAATCAAAGATATTTTTAAACTTCTTGCAGGAGCTTCCTCGTGTAAAAGAATTCATGACATGCAAGTAGAATTGATTTTCGATATTATTTTCATAGTATATCAAATATCGCACTTGCCCGCATATAGTTTAAGCCCATCACGGCACCGAATATACCCCAATTTTCAAACCACATTCCATATGCGGAGAAAGTCATCCTTTGAACCTTGATCCATTTCAGTGGAGTGCATTATTGTCCTCACAGAAGAAGTGGAAAATATCCTTTACCTTTGCACACCTGTTTGATTCAAGGACACATAACCGAGCATTGTTATTATAAAGGCTGGTGTTTATATTCCGCAGATATTGACGTCTGAAGGATCAACTTTTCATTTTCTTATTTGTTGAATCGTTATTATTATCACTCAGTATCTTTCCCATTGTCATTTTCATTGCCACCGTTGTAGCTATGACAATTATTTTTAAAAGCTCAAGTTTTATTTCACCACCGTTGTCTTCATTATTAGTTGTGTTTCTTTTTTTTCCTTTTCATTCAAAAGATCCAATGTGAGTGGTGTGGTTACCCTTCTTGTTGACTCCCAACCATTGTCCGTTTTCTGTCACATGGGAAATTTTGGATGTGGAGATGGAGGATGGACACCAGTTATGAAGATTGACGGCAGAAAGGTGCATACTTTTATTAAATAATTCATCTCGTGTATAAACCCGCTCTCTTTCAAAACTTTGCAAGTTAAAAAACGTGCCTGTTCCACATGTGTGCCTTTTGTTTTTTAATCGAGAAGGTAATGCACGAAGAACAGACGTTGTTCAACGTAAATTTCAAAACTTGTGTGTAGTGACTGAAAAAGAATGTCTTAATTATCTTAACATATTTGTCTCTGGTATCATGTAGCAGCTAGATAAAAAATATACACCATCGGGATCATAATTCGGTTAAAAGCAGATACACTACAGGACGTCGACAGCAGAAAACCCATCAATTCGGAGAAAAAAATTTAAAAAATTAATTGCTTCTCTATTTCAGACCACCTACCGTTACCATGCAGGTTATTGGAGTAATTACGATGAAAAAAATTAATGCATCATTAAATATCCATTTAACAAAGTGTGGTTATTTTATAGTTATAATTAGTGATCCTGACTAGAATCTTATCTTATGGTTTTGATCAGATCGACTAAACAACAGCTTTCTTTTGAAGCAACAGATAACTTAAAGGTCAAATTGCTTGTTATTGTAATTACTGATATTATTTACAAAACGAGAACAAATGAGCTCTTATCCTTTTACAGGAAACCTTCCATTTTGAAAAATCTTACTGGACTGATAAAAACGAGTACAACCCTTCAGGAGGAGAGACTGGGTTTGACGAACAAGAATCAAAGCTACCCACCTACTGGAACACATCCTTCTCCAAGATCTGTCTTGGAATGAAGATCAACCAACAGCTCAGATTTATTGTTGTCAACAGGCTGGCTGACTCTCTGCACTCAATAATTGCTGATGGCCAATACCGAAGCACGTCGCTGGGTCGTGACGAGTGGAAAAAGTTGATTGGCAGCAACGCCTCTTTACAGCACAACTGTAACAAGGAAGGATTCAATGCCTTTAGTGGTCGAACTGATCGTTCTAAAGTCAGAATTGGTATTGTTAGCAATAATGGGAACGACTGCCACTCGTGCAACTCTTTCATTGGATTTGGTACGGGAAGTCACCCTAATGACGCAAAATCTTGTGGAAACGAGGCAAGAGAAGATTCAGATAATGGACGCAAGAGTATCAAAGCCATAGGGTACATATTGGTGCAATAAAACTACACTGTTATTTAAAGTCCGTAAACCACGCTTGTTTCACCTTGGAGACATTTTATTCCGACAAAACAGTCCAGGCAAACGGTCGTGAAAAAGCCCTAAATATACAGTAACTACACATTTAAACTATTAAAGAGATATGTAGACATCCCCAAATCTCGTATACTTCAATATACAAGGATATTTAAGTCGTTTTCTAATGAAATATTAACGAGCTCAGCTATATCAAACAAAGTTTTAAAATATTTCCCCAAAAAAAAGATTGAATTGTGATTAATTGCCCCTTAGCTTTTGTGCAACAGAAACAGCAGTGGTCCCTCGAAAGCCATCGTTCTTGTTCTCCTAAAAACTACATTGTTTTAGACTAGAAATGAAGAAAACAATTCGAATATTCACTGGCATTAAGTGATCATCGAGCTCAAAATTTTCTACCAGTGACAATGTCTTGCTCTTGGAACATGGAACAGTTAAAATCCGCGTCTTTGAATACTGAACTGATTGATCTTGTGTCCTTTTGTCGCTAGTAAAAGAGTGGAAAACCTTAAAATAGACTCGGATTCTATTGGTTACAGATTGATGTTTTAGTACATGTAGTGCCCGTTTTTTAGCGTGATTTCCCAAAAATAGTTAGAACATAGTAGTTAAACTTTTTCGGCCAAAAAGCAATTCTAGTAGCATGACCGTGTCAAAAATCGTAATCAAAAGTGTTTGCCACGGAGGCGCACAGGTGAAATGCAAAAATAAGTATTACTCTACACATCTTTATTCAAGCAAAACCCAAAAACCAGATGACGCTCCTAGTCAGTGATATTGTGAATTTGATTGTGAATTTTAAATATGTCTACAGGAAACTCGAGAATCTATTAAATGATAAATTTTCCCGTTTTGTCTTTTGAGGCGAATTTTCCTCAGTAAGGCATAAGTAAAAAAGACCTGGAGAGAAAATCATGTGCAGGGTGGGCAGTCCTTAAGCAAACGCTGGTTTCTGGATGATCTTAAACATTCTATAGCTTTTACTTTGTGTTGGTAACGGAAATTATTTTGGCAGCAACTAAGGAATACCGTGGGTAACAAAAAATAAATAAATAAATAAAATGAAATAATGATGAAGAGAAAACATAGTGCTTGTACCTCCTCGTGTAGTCCAGCTGTTATCGACCAAAAAAAAAACACTGAATTGTTCAAATTAATGAAAAAAGCATGAAACTTTGCCACAACACTTTCTCTTCTGTTACTTTAGTAAATTAACGAACTATTATAAATAAGCCTTGGTTAACAGATTTGAGATGCCTGTGTTTCTGCTACATTTCGCTGAACGGCGCTCTAGGTGAAATCCTAAAATGTTCTCCCATCTCATCAAAATTCCCCCCCGCCAACAACACAACAACAACACAATCTGTTTTTGGCCAAGAGAGAAGTTTATTCAGCTAGATCCTAGAATAATGAAATAGGACCGAACAGTAACAAACAAGGAAGCGAAATAAACCTCTCTGCCACCAAAATCGGCCAAAAACAAACTGAAAGAACGATAACTGGAACGAGTGCAAGAAATTACAGCGGCAAAGAAACAATGGCAGAACGTAATTGCGTCGCGAGAGCGAGCTTGGATTTAAGGCTAAACTCGAAATATAGCTTATAAGAGTCACTGGACCAATCGCCATACAATTGTATTAACTCGCCGGGTACGCCGCAACTAAAAGCCCAAGAGGCCGCTCCACGTCGAAAGGAGTGACCGCGGTAACGGTCGGCATGTGGAACACCGATGTGAGAGAGACACGTACGAAACTGTGAAACAAAACTGCGCTTAGTAAGCGGCACTACACCCGAGGGACCCGGTAAAAGAAAAACCGGGCAGGAGCGGTGAGCGGGAATCAACTCAATCATACGGCGATATGCGCTGACAGGACATAATGGACTGCCAGGAATACTAAGTAAAGGACTATGAAGCAATCGTTTACCAAACTGAATTGCTTTTGTGCACCGAAATGTAACAAAAAGCCCATGGGCGGTAAAAACCACATCACCCCGAGTCAGGTGACGGCGGGGATCAAATTGCCAGAGTGATGGCGGCACGATATTAGCTAGACGAGCCATTAGGAAAAAGGCAAACAAAAAGGCGCATAATAAAGTAGCCGAGCGTGGATCACCGTTCAACAAAAGAAACGATGAAAGCCGAAGCAAAAGAGAGGGAGAAACCGGCGGTGCACGACGCGGTGTGTGGAAAGCTCGGCGAGCAATACCGCGTAAAGTGAGGGAGAGGACGAAACCTTTGGTGAACGGGTAATCCGCGCCCGAAAATAAATGCAGCAACTTAACGCCACTTAAATAATTACGAATAGAAGGGGGGTTAAGGTACGACTTAAAAATTGGACATATAGACAAACCGTCGTTAACTCAGCCGGGACTGGGGTTAGTTTAAAGTAAAAACAAAACAAAAAGAAAGCCTTGAATAGAGTGCGTAAGTTGCTATACGTCCCACAGCTGTAAGCAGATCGCTGAGAATGTTTAAGATCCCGGCGAAGCCTCCTAAGTTCTGGATAGCCTAAAACGATAAAAGGCTGGGTCAGAAATCATTGTCAAATTGAAACATATCATCAGGGACAGGTACAGCTTGTAAATTGACGTGTTGCGCGTGGGCTAAAAATTCAGTTCTTCCCGCAAGGTTGTTCGAGTCCCAGCGCGAAAGAATGTCTGCATAGCAATTTGAGACACCAGGAACGTGAACAGTACGAATTTCGAATTCGTGAATAGCGGCAAGATAACAAAGTTCGCGCAAACATGAGTTTAGGAAAGAGTTCCGACACCATCCAGTATTGAGTACAGTCACGGCCACCGCGTTATCGCAACGTACTGTTAAACGTAAACCGAACCGGACCACCGCAAACCCCATAATTTCAAGGCGACAATGATGGTCAACAGTTCAAGGCAATTAATGTCAAGAGTTTGTTGAACAACGAACGACGGAAAAGCTGCATGAAAATATTAGTCGCCACAGAGTCCTCCGCAGCCCGTCAAACATGCGTCGGTAGTAAACACTTCGCCCGGAGAGGACCATTGTGCTGTAGAAATAATTGAGACGCCATTATAAGCTCTGAGAAAACGGCGCCACCACGCGATATCCTTGCGAAATTCCGCGGTCAAGTTGACATGATGATGATTGAAAAGACCCTTACGTAGAAGAATGAGAATGCGGGCGATAAAGATGCGACTCTGACGCACACACTTGGAAATAAAGATCAGTTTTCCCACGAGAGACTGAAGGGCAGCCTTCGTTGCTGTTCGTTTGTGAATCCATTGCTCCAGCAATTGTTCAAGTTCGCAGAGTCGCCCAGGGCTCACCGAAAGAGTTAATGCGTCTGTGTTCAACTCGACACCTAAACAAATCATAACTGGAGAGGGCGGGCATGCTTTTTCTGAAGATTCGTGTAACCCGAGTGAAGACAATAAATCGCTAAGTGCCTGAAAATTCGTTTGTGCGTTAAAGGCCGGGGACACGCCGATGAAATCGTCTAAATAGTTAAACACCACGCGTCCTTGTTGTGATGAGACCCAGGCAACAGCAGCAGTAGAGCGTTGGCACGCCATAGCGGCAGAGCGCAATCCCATCGTGAGAACGGTGTCGAAATAAAACTGTTTGTTCCAAGTGTATCCCAGAAAAGGATAATCTTTGGGGTCCACTGGGAACTGGCGGTACGCCTTGCGAAGGTCACGCTTGTACAAATAACAACCACGGCCCAAAGTAACAACGGCATCCACAATGTCATCGATTGTAGGATAGCGTAATGAAAGTGGTGCCCCCAAATACGAGTCACTAGGAATACCATCATTTACTGAATGACCGGACGGCCAACTCAAATCCACGATAACCCTTCTCTCCTCGGAATCCCGCTTTTCCACGGTATTGAGAGGGGAGAGCACAAACCCCTGCATGAACGGAGCCTTGTTAAAAGGCCCTGCAATGCGGCCGAGTTGGACTTCTTTAGACAGGTACGCATTAACTTGGTCTGGAAAGGTCAACGCGCCCCGATGTGTGCGAAGATCAAAAATGGGCAAAGTATCAGACATGTAACCGATAGGCCAGCCGAATTCAAGAAAGTCGCAAATAACATTATCCGGATAATGCGGAAGGAGTTCACGCCACTTAGCGATATTTAACGCAGAGAAAACCGGGATCCGTGCCACGCGATAATTCGGCTCACCAGTAAGAGCCACGGAGCGATGCACGTCGAGAAAATTGGGAAAGGGAGAACTGAGCCTCAACGAAGAACTTGAAGGGCAGAAACGTGCTCCCGGAAACTGACACGAAAAACCCGAAAGTCTTGAATCATCAACAAAAGGAGAAACATGAAGTTGCGCACTATCATACTGAAAATGTTCTAGTCTCGTACCTAAAACGTCATGTTCAAAAACCTCAGAAACGAAATAATCACTGTAGAGAGCACCTTCATCAGGAAAATTTGTAGGATGAACGAAGGTGCTCGATGAACCTAGTTTTTTGCCCCGGAGTTAGTGGAAAGAGGGCACTCCTTCGATCCCTCCGGGTGCAAAGCTTGTGTACGTCCTTTGACCCAACAGTTGGCACAAATGTGACGGAGCCATTTCCTCTCGCCGTGGAGCAAACCGTAGTGATCTTGTTCAAACTTGCACGTCTGTCTTTGGTAATCTCGACAAAACAGAATCGGAACGTTCGCGGAAGAAGAAGCGCTCGCGGACGGCTTGGTTGCCTTGAGATGACCATACAAAGTACGGCTTTCTAAAGGTAGAAACGAATCTCCCCATTGGAGCAATCCACGTTCGATCTCTAACAGAACTGCGCCGTGAAAACTCAAAACAGCCTGCCATTCGTAAAGCTGGGAAAAATACATTAGCGAAACCAGATGTTTAAGACGGGAAGAACGTTCCACCTCAGATAAATCTGGGGACAAGAGGATCTGGCCATAACCGGCAACGAATTCTTCGAGTTTAAGCTCCTCGTATTTGACGTCGCGGCGACCGTGAGTAATGCTGAGATAACAATGTGGCCATGACTGCGGATACAAGACGGTGCTTGTTATCTTGGCTTCTTTCCCAGACTTGAGAGACTTACCGCCGTGCGCGTGTGCTATCTTGGCCTTCGTACTAAGAGGACTTTGCAGATCGCTGTCGTCACCATCAGAATCACAAGTCGACGCACTGGAGTCAGCTAACCCAAGCTGGGCGACTTGTTGATCAGCTTTTCGGGAGAGGCGGGCCATAGCCCGTAATTCGGGCAAAGTAACGGCAGAAACAGGTTGTGATGCTGGAGCAACATCATGGCCATCAGAAAGCGGGGGCGTGGACGCGTTGTGACCATCCGTCGCCTTTTTCTTCTCCACCAAGGCTCGTAGCTTCTTATTATCTGCTTGAACCTCTGCTAAACCAGTAGTTAACGACTGGACCGCACCGAGCAAAGAATTCAAAGTAGCTTGAATGGTTGAATCGTTCAGAGAAGCGTCCTGTGCTTGGGGGGCGGTGTCGTCTTCATCTGCTAACTCTTCTTCATCATCTGGCACCGGCCCGGGACACTGTTTATCAAATTTCCCGAACTTGTGCTCGGCTTGGGGAATTTTACAACCTGGACAACGCTTGGTTCGACCCATTGAAATCAATAAACGGACGAAAAACAATACCACCTGACAAAACACTGTTCAAGCTACGAGAGCTGTAACAAAACTGAAACCTAATACTGTAAACAATAAAGAATAGACAAAGGTGTGTCGCGTGGCGTGAGGCAATTAATCCCTTTGCGCAATAGTGCCCAAAGAGGGAAAATTTGACAAACGATTAATGTAATGGCTAATTCTTAGTCAATCTACTTTACTTGTTAGTGACACCGTTGGAAATATTTCTAGCAGTTAGAACTTGCCGCTACAGTTTCACAAACCGTTGGATGCCAAATTAGCCTTTAAGCACTCGCATCGTCCTCTTCATGAGGCTCTGTATCCGCATCGAATGAGTTCGTGACAGGATTCCTTTGCTTGAGGTAGAGCTGTTCAGAATGGTGACCATGAGTCATTGAGCTGCCG